TCCCTCTAAAAATAGTAAGTAAATAAATTCTTTTTTAAAAAATAACCTAGAAAAGGAAATCCCTGACTGCAGTATAGCACCTGGCTTGAATTAGGGCACAGATTAGAGACAGTGAATCTAGTACAATTGTCCACAAGAGAGATGCTAAGGACTTGGACCAGGACAAAAGTAGTGTAATGGAGATGAGGTGAGGTTTTCAAGAGATGCTTAGGAAGCAACACTGCCAGTAGTTTGGGGAAGCTGGGAAAAGTCAGAAGTGGCTGAGATTTTGAACCTGGGTGACTAAGATAATTATGATGCCGTTAGGTAACTAATAGGTAACTAAGGAAAAGAAAGTGATTCAGGGTGACAAATTTTGTTTTGAACACAATTTGAGGAGCACATGGGATAGCAAAGTATAGATGTGTGGTAGGCAATTGGAAGCACAAGTGGGGAATTCAGCAAATTTCCCTTCAAAGAGGTCGGAGCTGGAGGTGTTGAGTGGGAGTTTTCTGCTTAGAGGTGCTGGTTGAAAGTAGGGGTCACCTATAGCCCACAGACCAAATCAAACCCACAACCTGTTTTTGTAGAGCTTTTGAGCTTAGAAACAATTTTTCCATAAGTACCTACAGAATTGCCTTGATTTTGCCTCTTGGCCCACAAAGCCAAAAACACTTATTCTCTGTCTTTTGAGAAAAAGTGTGCCAACTCTTGGTTGAACCCATGAGAGTAAAGGTGCCCACCAAGGGAGTGGTGTCAAAGGAACAGCATCATAGGTAAGGAAGAGAACAGAGGGAGGGAAACCCATAAAGAAGCAGCAATGGAGATCAAAGGAGGAGAGTGCTTCAAAAAAGAGCTAGGCCAAAGTGCCAAGTACTGTATGGAGGATGACAACTTCCTCCTGAGTTTGGCAGCTAGGACATATTTAGGGGTCATTAGATTGGCAACCAAATAGAGTGGCAAAAGTGGTGAAAGCAGAAGTCATTTAAGGAATTAATAAGTGAATAGGTGATGAGCAGGTGGGGAGCATGTATAGAATATTCTTTGAAGAAGTTTAATGTTGGTATGGATTGACATAGGGTGGTATCTGAGTGGAAGGCCAAGAAGGTGGTCTTAGAATGGAGGAGATATGAGGTTTTTATATGCTGAGGAAGAGGAGATGTACAAAGAACAACTGAAGAGGCAAATTACAGAGAAGAAAGGCCTGGAGGAGGCTCTATGCAGTGAGAGCCAAGGAGCCCATTAGGGGAGACTGTAGGCAAGGAGGGGGATGGTTTTTCCTCAGCTGGGGCAAGAGGTCATCAGGGAGAAGCAGACCAGCTTTTCAGTGAGGAGGGTGCTCCCATAGCATAGAAGGAAATTACTTCTGTAAACATGGACATCTGAAAGCTAAAACAATAAGGAGAGAGTTATCCTGGCCTGGAGGCCATCGAGAGAAAGTGGGTGTGGAAGTGCAAGGTGGCAGTGAGAGCATGGCTAGCCAAGGAGTTCTGGCTTGTGAGAGAGGTGGCTGAAACCAGACCAAGATGGCCTGGGAGAATGAGGATGGTTTGAGGGGCGAGAAGCCACGCTGAAGATAAGTGACTTGGGTGGAAGGGAGAAAATGGAAAGAACCAGGGGTTGTACTCAGAAAAGAGGATTTCCAAGTTTAAACTCTTGAAAGTGAAACTCTGAGTGAAGGAGGCATCCTAGGTGTGATTAAATGTGTGGGAGGCTGAGTAACATTAGATATGGAGCTTACTGAAATCGAAAGGAACAGTTACATGGTCTCATTTCTTCCTCATCACATGCCTGGGAAATATAAGATAAAGAAACAGAGGCACCAAGAGGTTAAGTAGCCAGTCCAAAAGCATGCTGCCAGGAAATGGCAGACTTGACATTTGAACCCAGATCTGTGACTCCACTATCCAGTTAACCATGTAATAGAAGAGAGGTGCTGCTTTTCTGTCACTAAGGAGAGAGTCAAACAGATGGCATGGGAAGACAAGGCACAATTAGGCACAAAGTTAGTTTGAACAGTGGAAAAGAAATACAGTAAGGAGGCTTTCATCTGTGAGACCCGCTTCTTAAATTACAGGCTGGATTTTTATCTCTTGTTTTGGGCCACTTTTAACTAAGATACTTCTCTGGAGATTATTATTGGTGTGTAGCATATGACAATTTACAGAACACTTTCACTTCTTTATTTACTTTCATGACAGTCTCTGAGGGTAGCAATTATTGTTATTCTTTTCATTTCCCTGAGAAGAAACAGAAGCTCAAAGGCTGATTTGTCCATGATGGCACAGGGAGTCACAGACACAGGCGAGCAGTCTGATATTGTGTTCTTCCATTGAGTCATCGAGGTGAATGTTGGATTATTGCCCTGCCCTCCACCATCACTCTGTGGTTGAAGAACTCTCCAGCTCCAGCTCCTGGGTACTGAGACCAGAAGGAAGTGGTCTGAAAGAATGAGTTCCATGTGCCTGAAACCATTGAGAATCTTACCAAATGGCAGAAATAACAAGTAACAGGTATAGCCTGCACTTTCAAAGAACTCATCAGTGGAGATGAAAAAATTTTTTTTTCAAATTCCAGTCCAGTACACTAATATCCATTCCATTCTGGTGCCCACTGTACTGTGAGAACCCAAAGGAGAAGCAGTTACTATGTTGTACATTCAAGACCATCTTCTGAAAGGAGTAGCTTCCTGATGGATAGGGAGGCAAATGTGTTAAGGCAGAGGAGGGGGTAACAGCATGCACAGAGGCACAGAGAGGAGCACTGACCCATTTGGTGAATGAAATTTGCAGCATGCTGGGAAAGTGGAATTGTTGTTAAGGAGCTGGTAATAGGAGTCTTGTGTGGCAAGCTCAGAGCATCAGCCTATATACAGGGATGAGAAAAAATAGGTCTATAGTAACACTGTGACATTCCTTTTGAGTTGATAAAGCTACTGTAATAATCATAACCTGCATGTCTTTTTCCATACAAACAATTGTAAACCTACTTTTGCCCACCCCTGTACAGAGGACAGTGAAACAGAGCATTGTTGAGTTTTGAACAGGGAGGTGATGTGACTGGGTTTGTATTCTGAGCAGTCTCTCTGTAGATTGGCAAGAGTGGGCACAGGAAAATCAGATAGGAGGTTGTCACAGTGGGCCAGGTGACAGATGCCAGCTTGAACAAGGAGAAAGCCTAGAGAGGAGTAAAGCTATTTGACAACACCCTTGTATGTATATTTTTGAGCACTTGTGCTGTTGGGGGTGCTGAATCATAGAAGTCGTGCTTGTTTACTGGAGACTGCCCAACTGCTCTCCAAAAATGCTGACCAGTTTATATAAGCAATGTTCTTTAGAGAACCCCAACTATTTTTCATTCTCTCTCAGGCTACCTATAATGGTATTTCATATAAACTGGTCCATGGAGGAGATTGTATTCTCTGACTGTGGATAAAGAAAATCAAAAGCTTCATTATTTAAGCATGTGATGTCCCATGTAACCATATGGCTGTCTTCTGCCTTCTCTCCCACTGTGCCCAAGCTCTTCAGCACACTGAAAGTTGTGTTTCTTTCTTGTTATTAGTCCCAGACCATAATCTAGGTATGTAAGAAATATTGCCTCTTTATTGCTTTTGTAAATCAACTTAATTTCAATTCTGTACCCCATCTCGGCAGTGTTGGGAAATTCTACCTGAGTCATTTTTGCAGTTGCTGCCTCCCTGAGATGAAGACTAGGTCTTGGAAATTTCCACAGTCCCAGACATCTGGTTATCGGTTGTCTGGAGGATGAAAGTTGCCATTCAGCCAGTCATCACCCCCTGTCCATTGCTGCTCTGTAAGGAAGCTGAGGAAATCTGTCAGATGGCTGGGAGCCCTGCTGTTTCTGGAGGAACATGGGAGGGTGGGCCACTCCACTTTGGGAAATTACCAGCTCCTCAGAGCACTATTAGGAAGCAGGGTCAAGGAACCCATAGTCCTCTCTCCTCCCTTTACCAGGGTGATGGAGGGTGGGATTAGAACAGATCGCCCACCTCTGGCCCTGGCCACATGAATGTTTAGGAATCAATGTCCTTTCCATCCAAAGCCAAGTCTTGGCTAGAGACAACTGCTGACAGCTGCTGGGCCTACACACAAGTCCTCCTTCCAGGCACATGGCAGGACTGAACTGCCAGTCCCCACTGAAGTTAGGAGTGGCCAATGACGCTTTAAGAGATAGTGTGCAGTTCATCACATTCTTAACCCACTGCTGCAGTGACCAGGAGAGCATGTGCCAAGATAGGGCCACCAGCAGCCTGGGTTCTTGAGTGACTACAGTGAGCCATGCTCTTGCCAAGCTCCGTTGAACATCTAATGTGAGTGGAAAATAAAGTTCTGTTTGGTTAACCCTCTGGAGTTGGGGGATTTTTCATTATCACAGCATAGCCTTGTTTAGCCTGTATTGACAAACCTGGGTCTTATCTGGAGCACTCTCTCCTAGTCAACCTCTTTATTCATATGGCCACAAGAGGTGGAACCTGAGCTTCCTCACTTCAGACACGAACTTGTACAACATGGACTCTGGCCCCAGCCTCATGCCCTTTGCCTCACTTGACTCCACTAACCTGTGCTTTCCTGTGGTCTACTCTGGAATACTGTATCAGTTAGGATGCTTTTTTGCTGTGAGTAAAACAAGTAAGTGATGCCCTGGCTGGCGTAGCTCAGTGGATTGAGAACAGGCTGTGAACCAAAGTGTCGCAGGTTAGATTCCCAGTCAGGGCACATGCCTGGGTTGCAGGCTATGGCCCCAGCAACCGCACATCGATGTTTCTCCCTCTCTCTCTCTCTCTCTCTCTCTCTCTTTCTCTTTCTCTCTCTCTCTCTTTCTCCCTCCCTTCCCTCTCTATAAATAAATAAATACATACATACATACATACATACATACATACAAGTAAGTGATACGGATTTTTATCCCCTCATTTCATAAATCCAGAGTGGTCCCAGGGTTTATTCAGGAGCTCCAAGACTTCAGGTTTGCTAAGCATGTTCATGTTTGTTCTTGGGTTTGTCATACCATAGCTGTAAGATGGTTGCTTTATATAGCCATATTCAAAGACAAGAAGCTGGGGTGTGGGGGGGAGGGGAGGACACTCCTCACCAAGTTCTCTTTTAAAGCAGGAAACCCTTTGCCTGAAGCCATGCAGCTGATTTCCCCTTACACATCACAGTCCAGAACTCAGTCATCGTACCTGGCTACTCCTACTTGCAAGGGAGGCTTGGAAAGTGAGTACCTGGTATTTCCAGTCTGTGTTGTGGGAGAAAGTTTTTTCCAGTGGAAAAGAAGGGGAGGAGCATGGACGTCAGGCAGACAACCAAAGTCTTCCAGAACCACCATCTGCTCAAGATTCATCCTACTTGCTTGTCCACAGGAGCGTCTTCAACTGGACATCCTGCTCCCTCTCACATGACAAGTGACCCCGTGATTCCCTCTAAGGTGTGGGCTTGTTCCTTCTGCTCCTTTACACACTGCTGGTGAGATGACCACCTGGGTTACGGCACACCTGAGCCACAAAATGAAGTATGACTTGTAGCTGAAATATCACTTGAAGGATTAATGGGAGTCCTTAGAGAATTTTGATTCCTCTAACTTTTGTGATTGTTAGAGGTGCTGGCATTCCTTTGAGGCAGACAAGAAAAATAGGGTTACTTTGAGGAGGTTTCCCACACACTTAGCTGGGAAGGAGTTTTCAAAAGTGTCATGCAAAGGTTTGGTGAGGTACTTGCTGCCTACATGTCTGGTAGTAGCAGGGTGGGGAATGGAAAAAATGAGGGCAATATCACCTGTAAAAAACTTGCTTCTCAGACCTAGCCTGGACAGGGAATTCCAGGCAGGAACTCGCTTGCCTCTTTCTCCCTCCAACTTCTCCTGGGGGATATAGTAGTAATGTTGAAGAATAAATGTGCCCTATTGGAGGCCAGGGTGTCAGGAAGGCTTAGGAGGCAGGACACAGGGGAGGAGGAGAGACCCCCAACATCTCCTTTTGGTCATAAACAGGCATAAATGTCACCCAGTCAGAGGAGTCTAGCCATTTGGCTTGGGGTTGGAGGGAGAGGTGCCTGTGAAAGATAAAAAGAAAGGTTTCTCCATGAAGGTTTTTACTAGTGGGCACAGTACAAGATCCTGAGGAAGGCGAATGGGCAGCTCCAGGATAGCTAAGACTATTGGAGGTAAAAAGGTGGAGAACAAGGCAACTATTTCTTTGGAGGCCACCCAGCCCAGCCAATGAGTAGGATTTGGGTTAAGCCAGCATTTGAACCCTGACCCTCCCACTGATTTGCTGTGTGATCCTTTCTAAACCTTATTCTCCTCTCCTGCAACATTATTCACAATAGCTCAAAGTTGGAAGCAACCCAAATGTCTGTGGATGGATAAATAGATAAATGAAGTGTAGTATACCTATACAAGGAATATTATTCAGCTTTAAAAAGGAAGGAAATCATCAGAGAGTCACAAACAAGATGAACCCAAAGATGCTCACACCAAGGCACATCATAATTAAAATGGCAAAGGATAAAGACGAAGAGAGAACCTTAAAGGCAGCAACAGAGAGACAGTTAGTTCCCCACAAGGGAGATCCCATAAGGCTGTCAGCTGATTTTTCCCAACAGAAACTTTGAAGGCCAGAAAGAACAGGCAAGAAATATTCAAAGTGTAAAAGGAAGGACTGCCCTGGCCAATGTAGCTCAGTTGGTTGAAGTATCATCCCATACACCGAAAGGCTGTGGGTTTAACTCTTGGTCAGGGCATAGCTGAGGGGGGACCCCCAAAAACATGGAATATATTTATTAAAAATTATGTATTTGTTCTTACACGTTTAAATTTCAGTTGCCTTCAAAGTACTCTCCATTTGATGCAATACACCCACTGAGCCACTTTTTCCACTGATCAAAACAGTTTTTGAACTCTTCGATTTTGATGCTTTTTAGTGCTTCTACTGTTTTTTATTTCTCTTCTTCCACAATGCCAAAATCTTTCTCTTTGAGGAATTTTCATCTAGGGAAACAAAAAAATGCCACGCAGAGTGAGATCAGGTGAATAGGGAGGGTAGGACAAGGGGGTCATGTCATTTTTTTGGTCAAAAACCGTGGAACACTCAGTGTGGTGTGAGCAGGTACACTCGTAAATCACCCAACATGAAATGCGCAGATGCGTTGAATGAGTCGTTTAAAAAAACTCACTGAAGATGAATGCAGCCTCTCACAATAACAATAGCAGGTACACTGATACAGATGGGTTCCTAGAACACCCACCTAGTGGGGGAAGCTGTACTACAAAGGGCCCACCTTCTACAAGATATTTCCTGTTTTGGGGGGTCCCCCTCATACCTAGGTTGTGGGTTCAATCCCCAGGCCAAGAAGCCTACGAGAGGTAACCAACCAATGTTTCTCTCTCACATCAATATTTCTCTCCTCACCTGACACCTTCCTCTCTCTATGAGAGTAATTTTTTAAAAAGTGTCCTCAGGTGAGGCTAAAAACACTGTTTTTAAAAAAGCACAGACCTACAACCAATATTACTCTACCCAACAAAGGGTATCATTTAGAATCAAAGGACACATAAAAGAGCTGCCCAAACAAGAAAAAGCTAAAAGAGTACACCTCCACCAAACCAGGATTACATGAAATATTAAAGGGTCTTCTTTAAGAAAACAGTGAAGAAAAAGGGTCAAAAATAGGAACAACAAAATGGTAAAAAAAAAAAATGTACGTATCAACGACTGAATCTAAGAAACAAAATGAAAGCTGAAAAGAAACACAATCAGAGATACAGAGAACATTTTGATGGTGACCAGATAGGAAGGTGGTTGGGAGCATGAGCAAAAAAGGTGAAAGGATTAAGAAGTACAACTTCGTTGTTACAGAATAGTCATGGGGATGTAAAGTACAGCATAGGGAATTTGGTCAATAATATTCCAGTAATTATGTATGGTATCAGACGGGTGCAAGATTTATTGGGATAATCACTTAATAATTTATGTAATGTCTAATCACTGGGGTATACACCTGAAACTGATATATAATATTGTATGTCAGTTGTAATTGAAAATTTTTTTAGTTTTTTAAAAAGAGGCTCCAGACAGCTCCCTAGCCGCTTTACCACATGAAATTGTAGCAAGATGACTAACTATGATCAAGAGGTGGATTCTTACCAGACATTTAATCTGCCAGCATGTTGATCGTGGGCTTCCCAGCCTTCAGATCTATAAGAAATACATTTCTGTTGATGATAAGCAAAAAAAAAAAAAGGAAGGAAATCATATCATATGCTACCACATAAAGAACCTTGAAGACATTATGCTGCATGAACGAAACCAGTCACAAAAGGGCAAATGCTGCATGACTGTACTGATAATGAAGTCTCTGGAGTAGTCAAATGCATAGAAACAGAAAGTAGAATGGTGCTTTCCAGGGGCTGGAGGGGGAGGGGGAATGTGTGTTAGTGTTGAATGGGTACAGAAGTTCAGCTGAAGAAGATGAACAGAGTTCTGGAGATGGTGATGGTTGCACAAACTTGGGAATATACTTAGTGTCACAGAACCTTACGTGTAAAAATGGTTAAGATGTGAAACTTCAAGTTATGTATATTTTGACATAATTTTTAAAAATTGCATGTCAACTACCAAAGTAAAAGCACTTACATTAAAATATTAAGTGTCTCAATTAAATGACTCAAACAAAGTGTCTGATTCTATGTTGACATACAGTTCCTACTCCACCCAATAAGTGTAGGGGAGAGAAAGCTGAGAGTCAGGCATAAAATGTAATAAATAATGTATTCTTCCTGATATTTATAATATTTCAAAATAATGTAGGCTTTTAAAGTTTACAAAAAGCAGCTTCAAATACATATGCCATTTTATCTTTTCAATATACTGAAATGATTTGGGATTTTGAGGTTAATGTGATGTTCTATATGTGAAGAATACATTGTCTATCATAAACATCTATCTATGATTCCTTGTCCAAAAAATGGTTAATATAGTAAGTTTTATGTTTATATATATATAAATATATATATTTGCCACAATTTTTAAAAAGATTTTATTTGTTTATTTTTAGAGAGAGGGAAGGGGAGGGAGAAGGAGAAGGAGAGAAACATCCATGGGTGAGAGAAACATGAATCAGTTGCCTCCTGCATACACCCCCACCAGGGACTGGCCAACAACCCAGGCATATGCCTTGACCAAAAATTAAACCAGCAACTTTTCATTTTGTGGGACAGGATGATGCTCAACCAACTGAGCCATGCCGGTCAGGACTATTTGCCACAATTTTTAAAGTGAGAAAAAATAACAATAATGCCTGTCTGGCTTATCTCCCCAGGGAGCTGGGTGGGGGGTGCTTAGACAGATATGGATAGGAAAGACTTAGATAAGACCCTGTAGAAAAAGGAAGGAGGATTCCTTTTTGGAAGCTCCAACCTCTAAAGGTTTAGTCCATCCTTTGTGAAGTCTCATAGCAGTTAGCTTGAACCTCACATGTACATTTAACACATTGGCACAAAAAGCACTTGGGCCATCCCAAAGGCCAACTTCTCTAACCATCGGGGAGCCAGCAGAGTTTCCAAAGACCCTCCCCTTCCCACCACAGTCATGGCAGGGTTCCTCCTTTCTGCTGGGCCATAAGAGAGTCCATGCCCCTGTCCAGTGGGCCAAGACCAAGGACTTCTCCTTTTTTTTATTCAATAAGCAACACCTTCTCTTTCTTCCTGGCAACTCTTGTCAGCTCTCTCTGCTGGTTTCCTATGCACCCCCAGCCCTGGCCCTGTAGTCTCCATCTGGGGGCTAAGGCTTTTAAGTATCAGTGGCTTCAGAGATGCTTCCTGCTTTCTCTCTGCACCTCATATTTGCTGAGCATCTTCCCATACCGCTCTCCATAGGTAGCCAGGGCTCCTGACATGTGCGAATTTGATGTTATCTCACTGAGATGGTCAAGAGGGTTAATTATTGATGTCAACATTATGAACTTTATCACTACTCAGAAAGATAAATGTTCATTAACAGCTGTATTTTGAAATTCTCATTGCCTTAACACTATTGTCTAGTGGTTTTCCACTCTTGTTATGCATGACAATTACTTGGAGAGCTCTTGAAAACCATCCATGCCCAGACACCCTCTCTGGCCTAATTAAACAAGAGGAACAGAACAGTAATTACTCTCCATCAGGTATAATTACTTCTCCTTGTTATTGTACCAGTGGAGCCCAGTCCTTGATGCACAACAAGAATCAGCAAGAGAGTTTAGTCAATATTCATCCCATCTCTCCCATCCTGAGGAGGGCCTGACAATTGTAGTACCTTTTAAATGTCAAGAAGTTGTTTCTTTCTGTACTCTACCCCCATCTCTACCCCTGGTTTTTCTAAAAGCTCGTTTTTTTCAAATCACCATTTCTCAAACTGTGCTCTATAATGATAATAGGAACATTGGTGAGAATAGGGTAGTTAGTGACTACAGTTGGCTTATAGTGGCTCCCAAAGATCTGTCCAGTGCTAGACCCCAGAACCTGTGAATATTACCTTATTTGCAACATGGTGTTTACAGATATGATTAATTTAAAGGTCTTGAGATGCTGAGACTATCCTGGATTATCTGGCTTGGCCCTAAATGCCATCACAAGTGTCCTTATAAGAGAGAGACAGAGAGAGATGGGACACACAAAAAGCAGGGAGGCCATATGAAGACAGAGGCAGAAATTGGAGTGATATGGTCACAAGCCAAGGCATGCTGGCCAGCAGCCACCAGAAGCTGGGAGAGGCAAAGGACGGATTCTTCCCTACATTTCTGCAGGGAGTATGGCCCTGCCTTGATTTTGGACTTCTGGCCTTTAGAGCTTTGAGAGAATGGATTTCTGCCTTTCAATTTGTTAAGGCAGCCTTGGGAAGCTGTTACAGTGACCAAATGAGTCTGGTAACTCTTGTCTTTACAGAACTTCTTGAAACCTTTTCTATGCTGATAGGCATTGTTCCCAAACACAGGCCCTGGACAAGTGCTCTCTAGAACCCATGTGGTGTGAGGTCATATGCTAGTCATCAGCTATGACCCAAACTCACAGCACTGCAAGTTGTATGCATGGAAAACCTATATATGTATATAATCTCATGCATCTACCCCTTCAGAATCTACTGTCCACTCAGTAAATATTTATGAGCACCTACTGTGTATCAGAAATGATACAAGGCATTGGGTATATAGTGATTTAAGAAACCAAAATCATCTTTCTTATGAAAGTATATTCTAGTGGAGTAGCCAATAAGCAAATAAGCAAATAAACAGCAGATGGATATTCTGAAGAATATAAAACAAGCTAAAGGGATAGAGAAGGATGGGGGTTGGCTACATTCAAGTGGGTGTCAGAGAATGCCCAGCATTGTACCAGGTGATTTACCAAAATTAATCTCATGTCATTGTTTAAACAATAATTTCATCTTTATTATATGAGGTAGGTATCATCTCTACTTGGCAGATGAGGAAATTAAGGCTCAGAGAATTGAAGTGATTTTGCCAAATTATACAGTTATTAAGTGGCTAACATGGGATTGAAACCCAGGCCCACCAGACACCAAACAAAGCTCATCTAGTACTACCATGCTACATGGTTCCTGTATTCAGTTGGACTCTCATTATGATCCTCGGCCAGCAAATCGAATTGGCCTGCCTTGGCCTTTCTATACTTGTTCAATGATTCCCAGTGGAGTGAATGGTTCTGAGGGTGAAAAAGTTGGAAGCAGGAAATCAGATGGCAAAGGATACTTCTAGTCAGAGACTTGCCCTGTAGAATTACTTCAACATATTTCTATGTTTGGAAGGTAGGCATAGGGTACTGAAACTTCTTGCTTCCTCCCCTGGGTGTTCTCACCTCTCCTTTCTGTTCTGCTCTATCAGGGACCCTCAGGACAGAGTCACAGGGACTCACTAGAGGCAGACTGGGGTGGGGGTAGCCTCAGGATCTAGCTAAAGGGACATTTTTGGCCTTCATAGCTCTGAGCTGCACCTTTGAATCCCGAAGAATGTACAGGACTTGGGCAGAGACTGGCCAAGCAGTGGAAACTTGGGTATGCTTGCAACAGTATGTGGCCCAGTTTGGCTAAAATATAAGATGCAGAAAGCAGAGTGGAGAATCAGGCTCGGCAGAAGGCTGGGGCCAGACCTTGGAAGGCCTTGAAGGCAGGCCAGGAAAACAGCCTCTATCCTCTGGGCTGGTATTTGCCAAAGCATGTCCTGCAAACCACTCATGTTTAGGAATAATAATAGCAGTAACAGGAAAGCAGGTTGTGTGAGAAGGTAAAGGCTCCTTGTCAATAAGTTGGAGTTGAAAGAGGCTAAACAGATCCTTTTTATGCCAGACTGCCAAGACTTGATATGAGAACAAAGAAAGAGCCAAGAGGCCACAGTGAATGCCATCCTTATGACAAAGATACATGGAGACTCACTAGAGCAGACTGGGCTGGGGCTAGCCAATCAGTGCTATGGATTCCATTTCTAAATCACCTTTTCTCTCCCCATCCTGCCACCCCAACTTCGGCTAACACTGTCCCTCCTTCTAACTTTTCTCCCTGAACCTACTGGCCCCTAAACTATGTCCTTTCTTCCAGCTCTTCCCCTAACCCCACCTTCTCTATCCTCCTCTACCATCGTATCCTGTGTCTTTCCTCCATATGCAAGCACTGCTCTAGCTATGCTACAAGCTACAATAATATACAAATACTTGGGATTGTTGTGTGAAAGACCACTATTTACTAGCAAATATGCAAAAATATAATTCATGCAAGTTCCACAGAGTGTTTGTCCTAAGCCATCCTCCCAAAACTCTAGCATCTTTTTTAAAAATATCGTGTGGTTTTTTAGACCCAGACAGGCTCAGCTTTGAGCTCTCTGGTGCTGTTGGTTTCCATAGTAACTATCCCTTGGTCCTGACTCCTGTCCTTCATCTTCTGTCCTGGTGGCCAACTGTGGAATGCCTGAAGAGCTCCCTTGTTCCAGGAAGGGGCCCAGCCCCTGCACTGGCTCAGCCAGTCGGAAACTTGCTTGGGGATTTGCATAATGAACAGCACACCCTGGCCAGACCCAGTGTGGGGGAGGGGGGCCAAGCAATTTCAGACTCCTTTGCTCCTCTTAAATTCACACAATGGCCTTTTCAAACCCAGACAGTAGGTAGGGTGGTTAAGAGTGTGGACTTTAAACCAGATTGCTTGTTTTGAAACCCAGACTCTGTCACTTACTAGCTGTGTAACTGTGGGCAACCTACTTAACTTATTTGAGTCTGTCTTCTCGTTGTTTTTCTG